TTTTTTTTTTTTTTTTTGCAGAACCAGGGATTGAACTCAGGCTCTTGTGCTTGCCAGGGAAGTGCTTATTCCACTGAGCCATCTCCTCGGCCCTCTCGATTGCTTGTTTTATATAGTCTTATTGCCAGCTTGAATGTATACTGTGGTTATAGATAGAGTCAGAGAAGACCCAGAGAAGAATACTTTATTAGCATTGGGAATTGGGTTTTCTGTAAGTTATTCTGTCCAAGTCAAAACTTTGGAAGATGTGATACTCCAAATCTGTATATTTCCTGCCAAATAAGTTTAAAAAATGCATATGTATGGTAGGATGTATATTTATTTCTTGTCATTTAATTGATCTTTTGGTAACTTTTTTGATACAGGAAAATAAAGGAAAAAGATGAACCAAAAGCTGTGCTTAGTCGGTACAGATCAGATGACACTTTGGACAGGTAAAATGCTTTTGAGCCATCTAAATGCAAGCATGTACATGTTTTGTGTATTTAACACGTTAATGTGTTAAATTTAATTTCTCACAAATCTATGGCATACTTACATGTTTAGTAAAATAAGCTTTGTATCATCAATATTTTATGTCCAAGGAGAAAGGGCACTAAGGATTGAGTTACCTTCTTCAAACCTCACAAAATCTTGATTAGATTATATTGCTTTCCTAAGAGCCTGGTTTTATGAAATATCAGATTGATCTGAAAGACTGAGAAATCCTGATTTGAGTGTAGGTAGTGCGAGCAAAGCACGGTTAGTTCAATTGAAAATGAAGAATATACTTTTGTAAATATTAGTGGTTCTTGTTTCAACTTTGGGTTCTTTCATCTGATGGTAGAGAAAAAGCGATTTTCTGTATAACATTTTATGGAGAAACTATGAACTTTAATAACACAGTAGTTTCAATTCACTATAAGATAAATATGTTTGCTCATTACAAAATTAAACTATTTTTCCAGGACTAGAGTCACAATAAAACTCAGAATGGGACCACTCCACTGTGGCTTTTGTTAGTTTCCCCTTTTACACAGAGAGAAAGGGCTCATCCTTATGGAGAACTTCGAGAGACTTCTGTTCAGATTGAACTGCAAATCTTACAAATCACATTCTAAAGCATAAGAAACAGGCAGAGGTAACATCTTCAACAGAAGTTAGGCCGAGCCCAGGCCTTTCATTTTCTACAGTAGGAAATGAGACTAGAGATTGTGGGATTTATGTACATAGAGATTGAGTGGCACATTTGTAAGAAATATTCTGGCCAGCTTCTTCCCTGGGCAGTAAACACAATGTGAGGAAGAGGAGGTCAGTAAAGACAATTCTGGTAGCAGAAGTAAAACTTCCATAATTCAAACCACTCCAACGTAAAATCAGTAGGAAAGATAGCAAAGGTGTCTGGTATATACCTGTGTATTTATACAACGATGCATTAGTTTTAATTAACATAGGAAAAATACGGACTTTTGACATGAAGAGTTTTCTTTACATCTTGGAGTAGGAATATGAAATATGCAATATATGTAGCATGTAGCATGAAGACACTAGTCCAAAACTTGAAGGTGGTGTACTAATTTGAAAAATGTAGGTTATGGCGCCCTCTTGTGCTCAGTTATGGAATAATATTTCTTAGGATCATACTGGCTATTTCCTGTTTCCTGAACTCCTATAAAATTAACTTATTTCACCTTGCAAGTTGGCAAACAAAAAGTTAATCTCTCTAAGCAATTGAAGGTTCATATATGTTGGTTCAACATCTCTATTACTGTTAGTAGACATCTCCCTACTGTCATGGAAGAGATTGAGATAAATCAGAAAGGAGGAATGATATGTTAACCTATTAGAGCCTTCTGTGGTCAATTTTGCTATATAGTCAGATGTATGAAATTAGCCCCAGTGAGGACACTTTGAAGATAGAACTACTTCCCAGTTTTGTGGCCAGGAGAAAGTCATCTAAGTTATTTTAAACTCCATTTCTTCATCTATAAAATGAAATGAGAATAATTTCACCTATAAATGAAAATTGTAGTGGTGTTTTGAACATTGAAAAATAATTATGAAATGACCATCAAAGAGTAGTTATTTTCATTATTATAAGTGGTGCTTTCCACACAGCTATAAACTTTAGAATTTTTATTAACTTTATTTATTTTTAGCATGATAAATCATCTTGACATCATTTAATATTAAAATTGTTTGTTTTAAATGAATTGTTATTTTCCCTGCAGCGGTTTATGAGTTGTTTTTTTTTCAAATTTCATATCAGTATCTCTTAGGTAACTATGAAGTCTACTACAGGTCCCTGGAACTTTTAAGATTTCAGACCAGATTGCCTTGCATTGCATTCACAGTGATTCATCACAAACTTCTTGAAATTTAAACATCTCAAGGCTTACAACCCTTGAGTTAGTGCAAGGACATTACCCAAGTATTTGGCCCAAAGATCACCTTATGACATGAGTTCTTAAGTACAATTGTACTGGAAGTACTCTGTGGAGAATATGTAGTTCTGAACTGTTACAAGCTCTTCATCGTTCCTTTTAAATATTAGTTTGTGATCTTTTGTATCATAAACAGAAACTATTTTGAATTTGACTCAAAGTTCAATATATTTTCTAGTTATTGTCCAATATTTTAGTTACTTTTTGTTTTTGGTTCTTTTTTTGTGCTGGGACTCGAACTCAGGGCCTCATGCTTGCCAGGCAGGTACTATGCTGCTGAGCTAGATCCAAGGCCCTTTAGTTACATATGTTAAAATGGCCTCTAGAAACTGAAACTATTTTTAGTTTATGACAATGAAGACATTAAGTCATATTTTCCCATGTGACTATTTGAGAGAGGTGATCAGTATCTATCTTGACGGAGATGTTTGGGATAAAATCTTATCCTAAAGTGGATAGTAAAAGGGAAGGGTTAGGGCAAGTGGCAGCAGACACATAGCACGGAGTCATCAGAAGGGTCTGCTCCCTTTGTTTGTCTTGTTTCACTTTGCTATATCCTAGTATCTGCCAATCTGCAGAATGTCCAGAAGACAGATCCAGGTCTTTTTTTTTTTTTTTTTTTTATCTCAGACTTTCAGGCCAGGTACTCATCAGATCCAGGTCTTATGAAGACCCTTCCTATCTGATCCAGGCAAGCAAGGAGGAGCAGGGCTGCAGTCAGGAGGCCCCACCACTGGGGCACTAGATGGCGCTATTTCTGATTTTTGTCCTAGATCTCCTCTTTGAAGAGACCTTAGGATAAAGGGACTACAGTTTCTGATGGTCACTTGGACCTATTAATTAAATGTATCAGTCAAAGCCAACTGATTTATCAAGATAGAGTAACTGGTTTACTCCTTGTTCCCCCAGATCTAGATGGTTTAACACCGTAAAAGGAATTGCTTGGTGCCTCTGAGTCTGATGTGATTTTCTAGGGTCTGTGGAGTGACTCACAGACCTAAGTTACCTCAGAGTTTTATGATGGGTGGGGAAAAAGAGCATGAAAAAATATGCGGAAAGTTTTATAACAGGCTTGGAAGTGATAAATAACATTTTTGTCCACATTCTTTAGCAATAACTCATTCAGGAGATCCCCACTTAGTAGCAGTTAAATTTACTACGTGTGGTCTTTTTCTTAATCAAGAGAAAAAGAAAATGAGTTTGATAAATACATAATATTGCTTATGCCACAAAAATGAACTAAATATCTAAGTATACTATTGATTCCTTTTACTGACATAGGAAATATCATTTAATTACATATATTGTTAAAAATACAGTATAAAAATAATCAAGTTCAAATGTTCAATGAATCAATGAGAAAAACATGTAAGTAGGCATACTTTTAAAATTCAGGACTATGTCAAAAAAGACTTTTCAGTAGATTTTGTCATATGTCCCTTTATTTTTTACTGTAAAATTTTCTAAAATCTGCCACCTAAAAACCAGATCTTTTTAGAAGAGAAAGGTTGTGTTGTGAGGCTATTATAGCATGAAAAAAGCTTGAACTCTTTACCCACAGTTTTATTTTGATTATACCTGCTTTGTTGTTGTTTCTTCGTAAAGGATCTCAGACAGAAATGATGCTGCCAAAACATCTAAAGCCAGTACCTTGGATAGCCGACTAACGAATAGGTACCAGTGTCTGCTAACTTTCCTGTAGTACAGTCATTTCCTAAGTGTCATTTACTTACTTACAATTCTTCAGTCCCACTTAATGTCTTCCTATGAATTCTTTTTTTTCAACATAGAATCTCTTTATATACAAATGCTTATCATATATAAATATTTTTAAAGGGAAAAAATAAAAATAATAAATCAGAGTTTCAAAACAGGTCAGTAGGAGACTTACCATAACTAACACATTGTGTATTGTTGTTTTCATAGTAATTTTTCAGAATACAAGATGTAGGCACGGTATCTAGTCCAAACAGTATTAGCACACATCTTGCTTTTCAATGAATTAAGAGAAAATAGCTGTGTAACTCTCTTACCTACCGTGTGTATAAATGTATTCTTTATTTTTCCTCTTTCTTCTTGCTTCTTTTCCCTCTCACAGTCTGTCTTTTAACTTGACCAGTTTCTTCCCAGTTCACAATGTTGATTGGACATTTTGGACCACCTGTTCAGTTTCTCACAGTAGTGAAATAATATGATGTTCACACATATAGGTCTGTTTATTTCACTTATGAGTACGGTCTTGAGTTGCATCCATTTGACCATGAAAGTCTCCAGTTTATCCTTCTTTATGGCTGAGTAGTACTTCATTATATTTTAAAAAGTATCTTTTTTTTATACATTCCTCAGTTGATAGACACTTGGATTATTTCAATTTGAATTAGCTATTACAAATTGTGCTGCCATAAACATGGGCGCAATATATTTCTGGAGTATCATGTTTTTAATTCTTCTGGGAAGATACCCAGAAGGGGAATAGCTGGGTCAAATGGGATCTCTAATGCTAGTTTGCTGAGGAATCTCCACACTAGTTTCCATAGTGGTTGTACCAGTCTGCATGCCCACCAGCAGTGCAGGATTCCTTTTGCCCACAGCCCCTCCAGCACTTGTTATTAGTTGGTTTCTTTATAATAACTATTCTTTCTGGGGTGAGATGGAATGTCAGTGTTTTTTAAATTTGTACCTCTCAAATGACCAAAGATGTTGAACAATTTTTCATGTATTTATTTGCTATTTGTATTTCTTTATCTGAGGGAAAAATCTTTATTCTTGTTCATGGCTAGAATAAAATATTGTTCAGCTTAAAAATCCAGAGATCTCATTATTTCAGATTGTCATTCTAACCACATCTATAAGGTATGATAAAAATATTGGAAATGTTTAAATAAAAACTGAAAAAAATTATTACAGGAAAAAGGGACATTGGGGCCAGGCAGATGGCTCAGTAGAATAAGCAATTCCCTGGCAAGTGCAAGGGTCTGAGTTCAATCCCCAGTTCAAAAAAAAAAAAAAAAAAGACAGAGAGACATTGCCTTTAATTATCCTCAAAATATCCTTGAACCCACTTTTCTCATGGTTTTTGCCATTTCCTGAAGCAGTCCTAGAAAATTTTTGTGAGAGTCTTTTTCTGTGACTGCCCTGACATCCTGAATCTATTTAAAACTTTATGGCAATTTCCACCAAATAATAACATTATAGTGTGCCTACCTTATTCCCTGAATCTTGCACAGTGTGACTTCTGTTTTTTTCCCCAAAGTCAAAATGACCATGAAAAGTAAATGTTTGATTTGATTCAGGTCACAGAGGCAGCCACAATATTGCAATTAGGGGCCACACTTATAAAAGAGGATGCTATGGTTAGGGTTTGCAAAGAAAAAAATGCAGGACACATGATTTAAAGGATTATTGTATAATAGTCACCCAAGAGTCATATACAGAAAGAGTGTAAGAAGTGTGTCCATACACTAAAGACCAAAGAATCTAGCTGAGGGCCTGGATCTTAATATCCTGCATGAGTCCAACTGAAACCCTAGAACTCATAACAGTGCCTCCCACATGTCCATGTGGAGGCCAAGAGCCCATGACAGTGTCTCATGCAGGCCTGTTTCACTGATCTGTGCTGGGAGGGCCCAAGGTCAGTGGTGGAAGCTAGAAAGTCTGTGCCAGTGTCATGAGGGATCTGTGTTAGCAGGCTGAATAATCTCAACTGGATCCAGGAAGCAATGCTCAATGTAAGAACAAGAGCTCTCCCATAATGGTATCACATAGCCACCCTCAGTGACAAGGTTCTGAGCTTCTCCAGCGATGAAGACAGCCAAGTTGATCAGGAAAGCCAGCACGACAAGCTCCTCTAGGAGAACACCCAGCACCAGGGCAATCAAGGGCTCCCTAACAGCACCTAAACTTATTCCTCTCCAGTTCTCCTTTTTTATGCTGCTGCAAACAGTCCCTAGGGGGGCCTCCCATCCCCAGCACCGTGCAGTCATATGGGTGTTACAAGTTGACCATCATTTGCCAATCCACCACAGAGGACTTCCAGAACTGCTTCAGAAAGTGGCAAGGATGACGGGATAAGCATGTGTGAAGCAGGATGGGTATTCTGAGAAGAATTAATGTCAATGTATTCTTCACTGTAATAAATTTTTATAATTTCAACACTCACCAAATCTTCTGATCACACCTTATAGGTGTCCTGATGGCTAGATGATCAACTAAATTCTCACTGCTGAGGACAACTGGTGAACTCAATGAATTAAAAATACTGGGATTAACCAATACCGAATTTTCTGAAATGAAAAAATTCCTTTGGAATCTAGTACATGAAACTTAAAAGTATCCTGAAATTATCTTATTAAGTATTATTTTGAAATTGATGCTTTCTTTTAAATGATATCTAACTTTCAAAATAACAATTCTGAATTTATGTACAATTACATGCAAGGATTAACTAATGTTGTGCTGTTGCTCAAACTGTGCCCTTTTTTCTTTCTCCCACCAGAAGCGTATCAACATTTAGATCATCGGATGCAAGCAAGTCGTATGTACTCCTCCTCTTCTTCTTCCTCCTCTTCTTCTTTGTTGCTGGGCTGAGACTCTAACCCAGGGCTTTGCACACTCCAGGAAAGCCCTCCACCACCAAGCTACATCTCTAACATTTAGGTGTTAGAAGCACCCTATTTAGTGGATGTTTCTTTGTATGTTTGAGAAATACCAGGCATCACCTGAAGACCCAAGTGCTTTTGCAAAGAACGGCAGCCCACCACGTGTTAATTTTCATCCTAAGCCAAAAAAGCTTTATTTTAGCCTCCAAATTTACCATTACAGATAGGAGATACTGAGGCAGAATCAACTTCGTGTGACCTGCCCAGAATGTTTTAGAGATAAGGGGACACCTGGGCAGAGTCAACTGTATATGACCCTTCTAAATTGCCCTAATCTTTCACTCCTTTCCCAGCCTTGTTAAGACTTCACAAACATGAAATAGATAAGGAGAATAACAGAACTAATTAAAGGAAGTAGAGTCAAGGCACATGTTGCCATAAATTCCCACGCCCGGCCATAACCTGTTCTAGTGACAGCCTGCCAAACCTTCTACCGGTAGGCACAGCATTCCTTCGCAGTGCCCTAACAATGGGGGGAAGTATATCAACAAACACAGAACAAAAAGCTGGGCCAAGCTTGACTCCATTTTGATCTGTACAAGTCCTGTGCTCAGTCACCAGCAATGAATACTCTAAAGATTCTGTTATTTCTAAAATACAGTCTCCCATGGAAATAATTCCACCGCTTCATCTTTGTAATATGGCCACAACCTATGGCTTTCACAAGGCTTATTATAGATGCCAAGATGTTTTGCAAATGTTTACTGGCTGGACTTTAAATGAAAACATTTGTCGACCCTCACTACACTTAAGCACCAAAGCTTAGCTTATCCTTTTTCCTTCTTCTTTTAATTTAGACTCAGTTTTTTTTTTTTTTTTTCTCTCCATGGAACTTCCTTTTCCTTGGATGCTCCTGGTCTCCTACATCCTCACTTCCTCCCCCGACCCCATCGTATATGCAGTTCCTCATTTAGAGTGAATCGTGTCATGAAATCATAGATCTGTTCATAACTTAGATGGGATACAATTTCCTGCCACATTCTACTGGCAGTTACAAGTAACTCAAATTAAGTGAACTTTTATACCTTAGTTTTAAATGTGTTTATCTATAAAGTCGTGCTGGTCCCTAGTACTCAGGGCTCAATACAAGCTGGGTCACGTCTACTTTTATGGCTTTGCATATATTAATGAATGCTAAGTGGAAAATATGACAAGATTTTAAAGTTGCTTTTTAAAAAAAAATTAAAAATCTTTTATTTATTTGATACAGGGTCTCACTATGCAGCTGAGACTCGTAGTGATCCTCCTGTCTCAGCCACCCCAGAACTGGGATTACAGGTGTGCGCCACCATGCCCAGTCTTGGGGCTAGCATGGCATGCAGTACTGGGTATTGAACCTGGGTCCTTGAACTTGCCAGGCAGACATTTAGATTGCTGAGCTATCTCCCTAGCCCCTAAAGCACCTTCTTAAACAAATGTATTTTTAATGTAAAATTGCAGTATAACTACATTCATCACAATATATTCCTGAAATTAAGACACTATGAACCCTTAGTACACCAGAATGGGCGGGCTGGAATTTTAGGCAATTACAATCATATCATGAATGACTTGTTTGTTCCATTCCTTCAGTTTGTGACTAAACAAGAGCCTGGCAGTTTACAAAGCAGGAAAACTAAGGCACCACTTTTACAGATTGCTTTTTCATTCCTCTTTTGAAACAGTTCGTGGTGGGGAAAGAGCAGGAGGCAACCTGGCAGATTATAAGACTGCCCCAAGAAGGGTAGGAGGAGTAAGCCGGAGGAGGGGGATAATTTGTTGTCTTGTCATTGAACAGGCACCCTGGCAGTTTGCTGAGTGCAAGCACCTCCAAGACCACAGGTTTCAGCCCTGCTGCCAGTCCTGTGAAGAAAAAGAGGTAGGCTGGTCCTTGTGCCTTGTGACACCACACTAAGGCCTCAACTATGCACCCACCAAGGCTCTCAGACAGAATTCAGGGACTCCCTTTCATTTCTTCTTCTTCTTCTAGGGGCCCATCGCCTCTACTCAACTATCATCACATTTCAGTCCTTTTCCCTGATTTCTTTTCCAAATACTCCAGTTACTTCAGGGCTTTGACTTTCTAGGTAATTTTTTTTTTTTTTGTGGAACCAGGGATTGAACTCAGGTTCTTGCGCTTGCCAGGGAAACACTTATTCTACTGAGCCATCTCCCCAGCCCATTAGGTAAATGTGTTTGATGGCAAGTTCAATGTGAAAGGGTGGACCCCTTCAGGTAGCATATCTTATACGGTCCTATAGCAGAGGATGAATCACCCTGAAAGAATGATGGTCATGCATGAGCATCTACCAATAAAGTCCTGAATAAAGTATGGCCACATGTCACCATAATCCTGAAACCAGCCTACACCCAGAGCCACTTCTCTTTGTGTAGACTGGGCAGATTCTATGTCCAAGTAGCGTCACAGGCCCTCTTGAGGACATCCATCTTTATGTGATTGTCACCTCTCCCTCCAGCTTCCCCTGCATGGCCTCACACATGCTGCCTGTGCCATATCTATGAGGGACTCAGTGGTGGCAGAATTTTCTTCATGATACAGAGTGTGGCTGAGGAAGAGCCCTTTGCATATTAAGAGGACACAGTGCCAAGGAATCATGACACAGATGAAAAACAGGCACACCCAAACCCTGGTGCTTTAAATTTTTACTTTATTTATGGGCATCTAGGGCTTTATCCGGTAGATGCTCAGTATTTGTGGATGAGCTCACTGACTTGGTCATGATGCTGCTGTAGTCCCTCTGGGGACAAAAGACCGATAACCTGTATCATGTAGTCAGAGTTCTGCTTGTGCCTACAGAATCTCACAGAATGGGAATCACCTTTCCCTTGAACCCAATTTCACATCCCTTTACCCTTGGTCTGCTAAAGACAATTATATTACTGATCTATGTCCAAAAAGGCATCTTACTATCATTAAAAAAAAAAAAAAAAAATCCAGACTCCAAAATCTCTGTTGTAAGAGAAATGCAAGTCATTCAGTCACTTAAATGTCCTACCCATTGCAAGAATGTTGGTTTCCTCGGACAGACCACATACTATTCAGGACCATTGAGACTAGAAGTGAGGCTCTCAGTGTTTGGAGAAGCAACTCCAGCAGCTCCTCCTCACGGGGAGCTCCGTTCCTCCCACTTGCCCAGAGTCTGCATTAGCTGACTCCCCCAGGGCTTAGCTCAGGTCCGTGGTGCTCAGGGAGCAGACCAACTTCAGGAATTTAGAGCCCTGCTCCTGCTCATCCCAGGCCATTCCTTTGCTAATCCAAATCACTCTCTGCACATAATCACTTTGCATCTTTGGTCTCATTATCTTAGTCTTGACAGAAGCCTTGGCTATTGCCACCAATTAAAATTACTTCCTTACAATGTGAGGATATATTTCTTTTTCTTTCTTTCTTTCTTTCTTTCTTTCTTTCTTTCTTTCTTTCTTTCTTTCTTTCTTTCTTTCTTTCTTTCTTTCTTTC